AGCAGCTTTCCATTCCTCTTTTGTAAGCTTTGTACTTTTATTAAAATACTCTTCTATATACATTTATGATATTGAAATACTTTCCGAGTATATGAGTACCTACTTTACATTATGTTCTTGTTAAACTGAATGTACGGCTAGCTTATCTGGGAGATGCTTTGGTGCGGGTATAGTGTTTGCTTATGCAATTACTCTATGTCATGACGATGATATTAGAGTAGTATCTGGTAGTTTAGACGTGGTGTCTAGATTACGGGATATCATTATTTGGGGTTATATATTGCGGATGAGAGGTGAGCCGCTGATGGTGACAGCTCAGTACGGGTATTCCTCCGCGTCTATATATAATCCTAAGTTAATTTCCTGGGAAGGGTATTCCTCCGTATTTAGCCCTGGTTGGATGGTCATGATGGGTTGTCGTAAGGAACTCGGTAGTCAGGGGTGGCTTCTCGAAGTACTAGGAGGGCATCGGATAGAGGGTATTAGCTAGTATATCAGTTAACTAGAATGTATGTATACTATGTATATTAGAAGTATAGGAATAGATTTCCTTTCTCTTTTCTTTTCACCTAGCTTAGATAAATTATTATGAGGATGAGTAGAAATGCTTGTGTGTCACTCTACCCTTGGATTATCTTAACCCCTTCTTAGAATATGATTATCACAAGTAATATATAAATTATTAGTTAAGTTCTCTCTACGTGATCTTCCCATGGGATAAAATAAATACGATACCCTTGGAATACTCTCGGGTGAAATGCTACAATGGTATATCCGTGCGCTTGTGGATGAACTCTGTAACCATAATATACCAGAAGTATTTCTGCGCCATTGCTGGGCATTATGTTTCTAGTAATGTCATTAAGAAATACCAACAGATAACTTAGCCAATCTAATCTAGTAAAGCGTTTTAGCCGATACTGGCATAAACCCTAAAGCGAAACTTAGTCGATACATGTAAATAGAACTACCAAACAACTAGATTAACTAAGATATATATGATAGATAGGTGCTTACATTGACAAGATCAGAGTGTCGAAGCCCTAGCCCTACCGATGCAAACAACCATGACAAGTATAAACTTGTTGAAAAAGTAGAAAAGTAAAAGGGGTGGCGATGCGCCGAAGTTTATTGATCTGTGGAGATAGTTTACAATGACCCAGGTGTATATATTTATACCCATGGGTAGATACTAGTCCTTCTTGGACAAGAAAGAAACTTACCTAAAGATAAAAAAGGAAAACATAAAGTCCTTATGGGGCACTAAACACATTTTCCTAAAGATAAAAGGAAACAAACAGACTCTTCCTAATTAATAGATAAATTGACATGCCGCATCCTCCTTTAACTCGGTCACTTCTAGATAAGCTTTTTTTAATTGATTAATTTCCTTAACCGAATATAGAAAGAATGCGACTATTGGCGACTTGATAATTCTCATCGGCCGATTCCAAAACTCTGAAGCTGATACTGACTCTAGGCCAATAATGACTTCGGGGCTTACCAAATTTCACTGCTAACATGACTAGGCCGATGATGTCTTCGGGGCTTACCAAATTTCACTGTTAACAAGATCAAACAAACGAAACATGGTGAATGTGTATCGGGGGTTCAGATTTTACTATGGATCAGGTTGACGAGGAGCAGCGGACATCCCAGGAACAACGCTCAGTACCGGACGTTATCGTCAGCACGCAGCCCTCAAGCATAGAGGAAGACAAGCCGTTGTAGTAGACCAATCAGCGATCACGTGAAGCGCTTACCAAGAACCTTATTGGTACCTTCTTCCGGGGCAGGACGTCAAGGGCGATGGGTCGGGAGATCTCCTCTCCTGATCACAGGTACACATCGGCAAGAGGAACGGAGTAGACTACGAGTGGTGACATAATACAGAGAAGGAGGCAAACCCTAGATTGGTTTTCGCGTATATTGCGAGGAGGCGGTGGCTCGGTTTATGTACAACATATAACAGGACGCGTGATCAGGATGTCTACATGATCTCCAAAACATGTAACCGAACCGAATAATTCGCGTGTAACTTATCTGGACTCCACGCCGCTCCATGCATCATATTATTTGGTGCATTTCCAAAAACAAACACCGAATTTTACAGCAAAAGGAAGCCACGTCCACGCAAGGATGAGGAACCAATTTGGTGGACCATTCACACGCAGCCCTGTCATGTGAGGCGAGCAAGGGCGCACGTATTTCTCTAGTTCTCTCCACCACACATACCTCAAGTGGTTACGAGAGCACTCTCCCTTTTAAGGAGATATCTCTTCTAGAATGAACGTACGTCCTCGTGCATGCCTTTCCATGATATGGGCTTCTATGATTGAATTAAACTACAAATGAGCTAAGACCAATCTATTAATTCCAACATATTCTGATCACATTCGATTTGACCACATTAGGATATTATATAATTTTGTTCATTCCAAGTTTCAAACTTCACAGTGAAACGAAATTATGATATCTATGCTTTAATTTATTTCATTTTAATGTCATAAATACTACTTTCTGTTTTAAAATATAATATGATGATTTCTAGAATACAAATAATGTACCACAATATAAACATTACTGCACTGATATCCATGACTCTTATCATTTCAATGATTCTACAACCAATCAGATGCTTGCAAAGGCAATTGATCGAAGCAATTCAAAATTTAAAAATTGACAACTGAATGACTTTTTGACCTAACATTAGTATTTGCTAAATAATGTAGAAATTTTTATATTTTGGAATGGAGAAAGTAGTTAATTTGCCCATGTGTTACTACGAAATCTTAAAAAAGAAAAACCTTTGGTATTCATTTTAATGCCTAAAACTAAGTACTACTAAATGAATGGGTGAATCCCTATGATGGGCGAAGTGAATCCATGCAATGGTAGCCAGCTGAGGTCACAAGGTGGTCATGGGAACTGCAACGGATCCGCCGGTCTCTCGCAGCTGCAATTGCATATGCTTTAGACACAGATCATCACGAGCGTGGGCGTGCCAACGATCAGCCACGCGCTCGTCCGCCGTCTTTGGCATATGCAAAGGCCCATTTGGGATGTTAGGCTTCTTAGTCCAACTATTCACAAGATGCCGAAGAGGGCTGAATTTACTCATTTGGGCTAGGAGGGCGCAATTGCATGTGCATCTATCATCGGCAGAAACAAGAAGTCAATATTTACTCCCTCAACTATTGGCAGAATATGCTTTGCCATCACTCAACCATAAAACCAGATATATCGCCTACCCCAACTATCAAACTGGTTCATTTCACCTCTCTATGTGGTTTGTGTTACATGATGCTTGCGTTGTATTACAATATATGGTTCTGATGTGGCGTTACAGTATATGGTACTGATGTGGCATTGCAACACGACCCACCGATCAGCAGGTCCAAAGAGATAAGGGAGGCAAAATATATTTTGTTTCAGCCATATAAGACACAGCGCAAAGAGAGGAGGTAAATATACATATTCCAACCATGCAAGGCACGGCCTGAAGAGATGAGGGATGCAATGTAAACTTATTCAAGGATGAGCACGACGGGCTGTTTGTGCCTTCGGGTCGGCATGACATGGTATGGCCCGAGTCTTATTGGATCGTACCTGGGCCGTAGGCGCAACCTGTGGGCGAGCACGGCATAACACAACGAGTTGGTCAGGGCGTGCCTTGGTTGGCAGCCCATTTGGCCATTTTATGGGTGCATGGATGATGGATTCTTTTGTGTTGGTGCATTAATAGGCTATGAGAAGGCATGCGATAGGGCAGGAGCTCGATGAGAGCATCGCCAGTGCAGGACCTCGATGAGGCTTAAGGAGGTGGATAAGGAATAAAGGACGGAGATTGACATCATGCTCACTATCTCCCCCCCCCCCCCCCCACCCTCACGGATAGGTCGATACGAGGGAGCTCCTCCACACACCAGCAGGATGGGGGCGAAAAGGAAGAGGATGCCAGCCTCTGACCTTGGAGGTCGCTTGACGGCTTGCCGCGAATGCCAGGCTTTGACCTTCGAGCCTTCGAGGTTACTTGGGGGGGCCTGCCACCTACAGTGGCGAAGCTATATAGTGTTTGGGGGAGGAGTGGGGGGGGGGGGTGCACATGAACCCCCAAACTCCTAATTTCTCACTTAAAAAGACTAGAATATATAGTATTGTACTTAAATTTTCTAGATTCTCAATGGTAGCGTACCCAAGGGAGAGATGTGGATAAAGAAGATGAAGACATAGCCAGTTATATGTATCTCATATCTTATTTATTTATTTAATAACTAGGCAACCACGTAGACGTCATGTCAGCTAAAACCACCTCTAAATTAGCCGATGTAATTATTTTATATTGGTTTTAATACTTAATGAAGATGATATATACAATTTTATGACTAAAGATTACAAATTATATTTTGCCAATAGTTATGATCGTCAGCTAAAACCACCTGTAAAACAGGCGAGGTAATTACTTTACACTGATTTTAATACTTAATGAAGATGAAGATGAAGATGATATATACAATTTTACAATTAAAGGGTAAAATCATATTCGGGTAATGGTTGTGGGAGTTAAAATGCACCTTTTCCATCGGCGCTCATAAAATATCCTGAGTGCTGCTATACATACGAACTTCTGTCTACGATGTTTGTACGATGAAACACCCTTCTCTCTCTCTGCATCAGAACGAGACAAGAAGACTGACATGCTCCATAAGTCCACGTTAGCCGTCCGTTTGATCGTAGGAAGATCGTACTCAAACGTATAGCAATTTCCATAAAATATCTTGTCTAGCCCAAATTGTCTTTGACGTACTACCAGTCTTACCTCTGCTCCGGATAACCAGCCAAAAGCTCTTCAAACGCAGTGGCAAAAGACTAAAAACACTTGGACAATCCAACAATGCATCCGGTAGTACTACTAGAATGGGAATGTCGCGTCATTTAATTGGTTTTCAACATCACCGCAAATCAGAAATCAGGAGACAACAAAATAAAGGGAGCGCTAATAGCAGAAAACAAACCCCAACTTTACAACACTTATGGCACATAAACGCATAGCGAGAACACACATTAAGGGTAGACTTATGTTGCATATCATTGAAAAAAACACGCTGCCTAAGAAAACTGATAAGACGTCCAACACTTGCATTACGAGAATATTAGGGGTGAAGGTTAAACAAATCAACCAGTTCTGTATTGAAAACATATGTGAAGTTGTAAAGGTACGGAAGAAAATGCCAAATAGAAAAAGTCTATCCGTTGCAATTTGTTTACAGCTTCAACACTTCCTGTAAAAGAGAGTATAAAAGAAGTTACAGGAGTGTTGAAAATGGGCATCAATGGTCCATCATTTGATCAGTGCCAGTACTTAAAAAATTACAGACGTAAAAGGAGAACTTAGAAACCTGAACAGCAGACATACTTCAATTGAAGCTAATTTAAGAGAGCACTCACCTTAAGCTTGCTGTTGCTTCTTCTCAAGAATCTTCTTCCAGCGCTTTTGATCGAGCATCATTGTCATGTCTTGCCAGCTGATATAAATAAGTCAATGGGCAGGAAATATGTCAACCAACTTGAATTGCACAATGAATCAACTGAGTGATATGAGCACATATGGATGCACAATGGCCAGGTTTCCATAGATTAACATATGACTGGCATGATCACATGGGAAAAAACAAAAACAACTGTTCCAAAAAGTATGCTAAAATAATCAACTGGTGAATATATATGATACTAAATTAAGATGCTCAACAATGTAAAACATGAAAAATAATAGCATTCTAGTTCATAATCCATGGCCACACGTGCATTTTCAGCCTAAAATGTGTGAGGTTTCATAGAATACTTATGCCTTATAACCCAAACCTGAACAGACTCAAGTAATGCTTTATACTCCATCCGTTCCAAAATATAAGGCACAACCACCCTTAACCCAAAGATCAAGAAATAATTATTATCATCTCATAGTTTGGATCACCCTAATAAATATAATGCATGCATCCAATAGAATTAGAGATCTTGAGGGTGGAGGACTTAAAAAAGCAATAATTTAATGGAGAAGAGGTCCTAATTAATTGTATGCATGCATGCATGCCTTATATTATGGAACATAAAAAAAAGTAGTTGTGCCTTATATTATGGAACGGAGGAAGTACATGAGAAACAAATGGTAGGAGTTTGTTTGAAATCATGTGACCAATAAGTATATAAATAACCATGTTAGAGTCACGTAGAGATTACAGAAGTCATTTAACTTATTGACATATTTTTAACTTTTTAGTGTAAAATGGTCAAGTAATGCCAAGTTAATTGACCACCTTAACAGTGGAGTACCCACGAACATATGTACCTCCTTAAAAAAGGTGAATCTACATTCTAGATATCCCCTCATGCATCCTTGGCCAAGACATCATTGACGTGAACTGATTTGATCTGTCAAGTCAGCCAGGCCAGGTCAACAAGTTTCGGCTAAGATGCGAATCACGTCTCACAGCCCTGAATTCCCAGCTAGGTGCAACTAGTCAATTGACCAATTCCGACTTCCCAAACATTGGTTGGACCGGCACACTAGCTAAGGTAGATGGCCAGGCTCCAACCACAACATGGGAGTAAGAGACCACAGGAAGAAAAAAGTTATTCACACATTGTGAACATCTGAATATAAATTACCCTCGTGACCTCTGTGGACGCATCAAAAAATAGTGGATATTTCACCGACTTGTAGACTAATAGAAGGAAAATGTTATTCCTTAGCTATACAGAAATTTAATAGGAAATATGCTATCTGAATTATTCACTTAATAGTTGTTTTAAGTGGCATTATGACAATGCACTTGGGCCCACAAATTTGAAACATGACATGCTAATCTTAACTATGAAGTTATCATAATTGCCTGCTATGGCTAACGTCTGCTAGCTACTGTTAAAATGCTACACACCGCAATGCTTGACTGATGCACTCTTCTCTATGTTACCCGAAGCCAATCCACCTCACATTGTTATACCAGCAAAGAAAAGCCAACCCTGGTAATGTCACTACTTCTCAATTGGATTTACAGAAGTGTTATGCCCATGTTACCCTGCTGTCAAGTCATAAAGTTGAGTCAAGGTACCCCTGGACTGACTTGGCAACTTGGTCGACTAGTCCACGACGACGACTCGGTCGTGTGAAAACAGGGGATTCACTTATCACCTTTACTACTATTATACTGTACTAAGCACTATGTGTTGTATAAACTATGGACTATTGAGTAGCCAGCAAGACAATTGAGTTAACAAGAAATAAAACTAAAGTACTAAACAAAATGTGCCAATTAGCATGGTAAATTGATGATTTGCTATGACTAATCACGACTAATCGCACAACTTGCTATTTGGTCGAGTCGTAGCCCTCTAGTCGTGTGGCTTGACCAACTTTACAACTAATCTATGACTAACCAGGCAACTTGATTATGCACGTCACAAACATGTGTAATAATTCAAGTGTTACTCAGATCACAACAGTGAAGGTTGTTGATGGGGGTGGTGGAGGAACGCGACTAATGCCCTCCAGTTCTGATGTAATTGGTTGGCCAGTTAGGTCACACTGTGACATAAATCACTAAAAGTGTGGGAGGACCAAACAGTACCATCTACAAGAGTTTATAAAAACAATGTTCAAACCGGAAGAAATCATAAATTTGATCCCAAAGATGGACCCTTTAATCAGTAGATTGAACTGAATTTCAGCTAGTGAAGATCATATTTACTCGTAAAAATATCACATATAACACACCACCAACACAAACACCTTATGTTGATATATGCACGGGATCAAATAAGCACAGGGCATTTAATAATGGCTGAGGCTCTATCTGTTCGCAACAGCTTACTCAATACTAAAGAGTTTTGCAGAAGCTTCATAATTTATATATTGTGGGTATAAAAACAAACTTTTTGTCAAAGAAAACACTGCTGAGCAGAACCCAATAAACATTTGGTAATTATTAAGAGGTTCCAATACATATACTCTTAATACTTAAATTTATTCAAATGCACTGTGTTCCTTGATTCACATTAACTTAATTGCTTTCCTTTCCTGTGCATCTTCAATTCAGAATGAATTTATTTTTTCCTTGAATACACAAAAGAATTGCACGCCATCTCATTAAGAGAAGTTACAAAGGAAGAGGAACACATCCAAAAACAATCACGCCACGCTTAAAAACTAAAAAAAGGATCAAACCAACACCACAAGGTTGGACTAGGTGCCTATTGCTAGTGACCGAACAAGGAACTCACGAAGCGCAGAGGCAACAAGCCCAGCACCACAGGCTGCTCTCTTCCACAGTAGAACCTGAACATTGGGGCTTGCCCCCTCGAATACACATTCATTACAGTGATTCCATATTTTCCAGCTTACTAGAATGATCATGGAGTTGAGCCCCTTATTTTGGTCTTCAGGAACACGTCTAGTAGCACCACCAGTTAGAGAGAAGCGCGGTAGACTTAGGGCCTTTTGGGGGAGATTAAGATTCCGAGAAGCTGCTGCTGAGAAGCTAGCTGGTGAGAATCTAGAGAAGCTGGGAAAGCTTCTAGTTCATTTTGTAGATTCTACAATTACAGATCTCAGAATCTGGGTAAAAAGTTGGACTGTTTGGGGGGAGCTTCTGGCAACTGAAGATTCTAGGAGAAGCTGCAGCTGCTAGAAGCTCCCCCAAACAGGCCCTTAGGCTTCGTTCGGCAGTGAGCTTTTCCAGCTTATACCCCACGTTTTCCACGCGCACTGCTAAATGGTATTGTTTTTTGCAAAAAAAAACATCTATATGAAAGTTACTTAAAAAAATCATACTAATCCATTTTTTTAGTTTTTTTAAAGCTAATACTTAATTAATCATGCGCTATAAGTTGCTCTGTTTTGCGTGCATAGGGGATTAGTTCCCAACAAGCTTTGCCGAACACAGCCTTAGGCATGGAAACCAACAAATTCAGAATGAATTTATATTAGGGCAATCTACTGTAGTATATCTCTTTCCATACAAAAAATGAGGTCGAACAGAACAAAAACACATGGCACATTTATACCGACCAAACAATAATTATGGAGCCCCATCCTGGAAACTAGAACAAGAAAGCATAAGCATTTGATTTCATATGTTGGAGCTCCAAAATTTAAGTGCCAGATTTTATATTATTGAGTTGTGAACACAAGAGTTGAACAATTTTCTTAGTAGTTTTTAACAGAGGAAAAAAAACAATAAGGCTCAACTATGTAGTATATTCCATTATTCCTTACCATATTTCATAATCATCTATTGCTGTTATCTTGGGGTAATTTTACTACATGCATTTTGATTTTAGCACTGTTTGGTTCCTGAAACTTTTCCCTGTGTTGTGTTTACATTAAGAAATATAATGGGGGTAAACAGGAAGCAGGGAAAAACATTGTTTGTCACCTCATTCATGTGATTGCCATATTTATACCCATGATCCAATTTTACGCTTTGCACGCATCTGTAATAACGGTTATCTGCTAGCAACTAGCATGCCAAGCAAGTTACGTAATCTGGGTTAATCATTTATTAAGAAAAGAATAATGTATGATTATATATCTAAATAAACTTTCATTCTTCATTTGCTAGCTATATCAGCATGATTTATGCATCACATGTACAGCAGTAGTTGTTTTTCACCTCCAAAACCTTTTTTAAAAAAGATAATTCACTTAAAAAACATATTAGCTCCTAATGCATATGCTTTTGCAATTAAAAGAAGTCCATAATTTCTATTATTTGATCAATTGCTTAGATTGATGTTGAGCATCTTGAAATTTGGATTAAAATTCCTTTTGGTTGAAGTCAACTAAATAGTTGCATATGTGCTGCCACAATGTTTCATCTAGTAATGACAGATTTCCTAGGTCCATTGCACTACATTAGGTAGCACAAAATTAGGTCACATAGCAAGAACATGCATGGGAACAACTTTCACCAAATTAAACTATATACTTGTCCATGTAACCTTTAAAGAAAGTTCACTTTAAGACACAATTGCATCAATCACAACCAACCTTTTGCAAACGTGATATTGCATCCAATAAAGATTGAAATACACAGTTGACATCCACAATAGGGCAGGAAAACGATTTAGTGGCAATGGCTAGGCAAAGCAAACCATAATGTATGCCACTTATAGTGACCTTCCCATAGCACACGATAGTACACACACGTTGCCAGAATAGAAGGTAGTTTACAAGATAAAGATTGAATGGATTTATTTATTACTCATGCATTGGATGAGAAGAAGAAATTTCAGGGAAATTTTTGTCTTGGATGGAAGGTTTTGCTATGGATGAGGAATACCACCAAAAAAAATAAAAAATCTACTATTCCCTGTACAAATATACCTAACTGGACAAACACCTAGATCCAATACGATGCATCCACGAGGGGTATCAAGCACGCAAAGGGAAATTATCTATCTACACACACACAGTAGCACCCATCTAGGGAGTACATGGCAATCAATCGAAAGAAGACGATAAAATTCAGATGAATCAAGACGTCGGAGGGGGAGGAGCGGGGGATGGAGGAGTTGGAAGAGCTTACTAGTGGGGGAGGGACTTGATGTTGGAGGCGAGGGCGGAGGCGTGGTGGTGGACGCAGGCGGCGGCGCCGAGGGCGAAGGCGCCGGTCCAGGTGGTGACCAGCCGCTGCGGGTCGGAGTGCGGCACCCCGGAGTCGCCCCTGTACGCCCGCGCCCAGTAGTCGTCGAACTCGCCCATCCTCCTCACCGGAAAACCTCGGCCTCTCTCTCTCTCTTCTCCTCCTCCGGCCGGCGGCGCTAACTCCGGGAAGGGATTGGGTTACCACGCTTCAGGAGAGGATGTCCTCTCCTATAGACCTGTGGACTTGGTCTATGGAAGATCGCCTTGGGCCCACGAGAACGTCCCCGAGCCCGGGCCTCATGCTCATGGGCCCATTGGGCCCATGTGGATATGGCTGAATAGTGAATATATCTATTTGATTTTTGAAAAGACTAGCTAAATACACATGCTTTGCTATGGATAAAATGCATTTTTTGCGAAATGTTCTACCCATTGTTCTGCTATGGAAAATATTCACCTTGATTTGATTATATAGATCGCTATCCATTTAGATTGATTATTAGTTTTATAATGGGAGTAGTTGGGGTGGTAGATTTACCGTCACCACCACCAGAGCCTTTTAAAGTAGTACAGATTTTGAATAGGGTTTACAAGTCGAGTAGGAATTCATACTAGAGAGATTTTCTTCAAGCAAAAGTTTTAAATACAGATAATTTTCCTAGAGAAGGGTTTCAATTTTCACATGAGAGTTTTGAATATATAATGGTTTATTAGTTTAAATTGATTTTTCTATTTGTATTTTTTTCCAAAATATTTTCATTCCCAGTTTATAGTGAAATTCATCTGTAGATGTTTTACTTTAGAACCTCCTATTTAAAAAAAGCGGGAAACTCATCTTCAAAATTCATGCTAAAAGGAAAGTTAGTAATATGAATTCAAACCCTAATCAAGAAAATAATATTAATTCTTGAACTTGAATTTAATCACTGACATGTTACCAACATACTCCCTTCATATGATATTATAAGGTGTTTTGATTTTTTTCTAAGTCAAACTTACTTAAGTCCATCTATGTTTATAGAAAAACGTAGCAATATCTACAATATCAAATTAGTCTATTTAAATATATCATTGAATATATTTTTTATACTATCTTTGTTATGTGTTGAAAATGTTGTGGCATTTTCTCTATAAACATGGTCAAAACTTAAAAAAAGTTTAATAATAAAAAAGGGTAGAACATTTTATAATATAAAACAAAGGGAGAGGGAGTACTTTGATTCCTCGTCTTACCTTTGTAAACCATGAGCCACCATTCTTCTGTCATCCAGTCATCCTCTTTAGCTATCATCCAGTCATCCTCTTTAGCGACATTGACTATGCTAGAATTGTATTTGGGCTTTTGGCCCATACGGAGAGTAGTTAAAATAAAATTCTCAAAGGTCCACCTTGTGGGAGGTATGCATGTGAACTTCGGTATTACCTTTCTAGTTCAAAGATAGTGGTACAATTTTAAAAGAGGTGGTGTCTCCTCGCCACTTGATTAATGTGTGTGGTTGAGAACTAGATAACATGCACTGCTTGCTAACCTCACCTCATTGCGATGGGGGCGCTCGGCACTTGCATGGATGGTGCGCTAAATTTTGACTCCTAGTAATGGTCACAATCTATCTAGGAGTAGTTCGGTTATGAGTTGTGGAGATCATGTATGTCTTGATCAGATGCTCTGATATCTTTATCATTTTGAGCTTGAGCCAAGCTTCAAGCAAGTTAACAAACCTGAGCTAAAATTTCAGCCATGTCAATCATGTATGCCACCTCGCTCTGCTCACTGCTTGTGCTTCGCTCCACCCTACGCTTCATTTATGATAGGAGAGGAAAGGTCCTATTGTGTGGCAACTGTACCCAATTCTTTTGTTCGCCTGCTAGTGACGTCATCCCTCTTAATGAGCAAACAAATCGATGTTTTATCCCTCTTAATAGTATGTCATTCCTATACTCAAATGCAAATAGAAGGGAATTATGCCAATAGGAAAACCGTCATGTCATCTTCTATATATGTCTTGAGCAAGGTTTTAAATAGCGGGCTAAGGCTCTTAGCGGTTGAGCCTTGAAACAGCTAAGGGCAGCTTTAGCCGGCTATAGCTACAGTTAAAGCATTTAGCAGTTTTGTAAAATATGAGAAAAAAATCAAAAATTTGATAGAATTTGAGCTAAAAGTTGACATATCACTTATTTCATTGCACATAGAGTTCATCACCAATTCAAAGTTCATCACAAATTCATACTTCATACATAGAGTTCATAGTTCCTAACTCATACAATCATACTTTCATAGTTCATACTAGAACATACAGATACCGGGCACTTGAGTTCATACTTCATAGTTATAAATTTAACAGTTTATAGTAAACAAATAAACATGCCACTTGAGTTCTTGACACAAATAAGAAACAGTTCATCACAAGAAGTCAGGAACATGACCATTAATTAACAAAATAAGAACAACAAGTTCGTAGATTAGAATATTGCATTCCACTAATCAGATTCAAAGACACCATGAGACTTATCAGAATCAGAGGATCCCTCTGAAACATCTCCAGCGCCATTGCCATCACCATCTTCTGAGTCAGATGATGAAGGTCCGGGCTGCATTGTAACATCATTCATCAAAGAGTGCACACTCCTGATTTTCTTCTTTTTAGGGCGCACATGCCTCTTCCTTTTTCCTTGAGCCTGTGATGTTTCTCCCTGTGATGCTCCATCTTGTGGATCATGTTCAGCAAGCTCATTAGAAAGAGGTACAATACCAGTAATGAACTCATTCTCATTATCAGCCACAACATCATTTACTTCCTTCTCTAAAGGATCCCTGTCTTTGCTGCCTCTCTTGTTTCTTATAGTTTGGAGTTAAATTTCACAAAGACAAGATCTCTCATCCTATCATGAAGTAGCTTGTTGCGCCTCTTTGTATGGACCTATGAATACAAATTATAGATAGATAATTTAAATTACTAGACTAGCAATGTCAATGTTTTGGGGCAACAAGTAGCAGGTAACTCAATTCTCAAGCAATCATACCAATCTGAAATTATTTCTCAAACATATAAACAGCTAAACTATCAACAAATCTAAATGTCATGTCATGGTGAGTTCTAAGCTTTTACCTGTTCAAATACAAACCAATTCCTCTCACAACCTGAGGAGCTACATGTCAAATTCAAAATCCTTGACACCAATATCCTCAAATTGGGAATGATTGTGCCATGGTTCAACCACCACTTTGCTGCACAACAAGTTAAAGTTAAACAACGAAGACAAAAAAAAAAGATGATTTCCGGCAATCATATTAGGTTCAGTTCTTCACTTGGATTAAAATTCTTGTTTCTCCTCTGCCTCATGGCAATTTCCTTTCCAAATGTCCCTTGTTGTTCTTGATACATGTTGAGTTCTGTAATTATAATGTCTTGGGTTGCCTCATCCTTAACCATCTTTGAAACACATGTAATCACACCTTCTCTAAAGGATCCATCATGCTCAATATCTGACTTATTTGGGTAGTAAAAGTATGGGTTAGGGGTAGGAGTCACCGCTGCTGCTTGGGGGCAAGAGCCACTACCGTCGCTGGTCGCAATAGCCCCGCCGTCGCCGGTCGCAATCACTGCCCCTGCCGCCACTCTATGTCACAGCCGCCGGGAGAAGTGGAGACTGCACGAGTGGGGAATGGGGATGGAGGATTTAGGGTTTAGGTATGGTCTTTGGACCTTGTGGGCTTCACAGGCCACACATGTCAAAAGCCCATTTTCATTTTATCTCTTTATCCACCGCTAAGTGCGGCTAAATTCCGGTGTTTTAGCGGCTATCTCCGGCTAAATGCAGCTATTAGCGGCCGATAATATGTAGCGTCAAACTCCGCTATAGCCGGAGATTTAGAACATTGGTCTTGAGGGATGTCAGTGCTAAAACCATTTTGCTTTGTATTCTTCAAATGATTGATACGGTTACTTGTAGTTTTAAAAGACCTCACATTGTCCATCACGACAAAGCCTTCACTCACTATTTATTATTGTATTTGGTCCTTTAGTGCTAAGCACCTTGGCTGTCAGCTTGTCCTTCACCACCGCATGGTCCACTATGACGGAGCGACCGAGCATTGCCTGCTCTTCACTATCTTGCCATAGTACAGTGAAGTTGTTAGTTCCAACGATCCAGTTGTCAACCTCCACTTGTTACAAATCGATCGTATATATGAAAATCTATGAATAAATCAATGAGTATTAATCAACACCATAAGTGGTATATACTCAAATATAAGCTCAAATGGAAAGGTCCCAATTAAGTGTATGTGAATAACCTGAATCAAATACATGCATAAATAAGGTATAGGATTTGCTCTACATAAATCTATGCATACAAAATATTTGTGTGAAGTAAGAGTATGCATAAATAGAGATGAGACATTGGGAGTTTATTGTCATGACCAAAAAATTTAGCCAATTTTCATATTATTTTGTGTATTAAATGTCTATCCTTGAATCAAGCCAGGGTACACAAAATGGTAAATTAATAAGCAGATCGAAACGTAAATAAAACATAAATATTTATAGAAGAGGCACTTAGTCCTCACACTTAAAAGAAATTAGCAACGGAAAGATGATCCTACTGTGACTTCAGCTCCATTCTACATTAGGGTATAAGTCTTAGCCCTTTAACTCTGTCTTTTAAATTTAGGCACTTAACTTCTAAAAGGGAGGAAATATATTAAGGTTGAGTACCAATCACTATACTCAGCAAGTCACACCAATAATATAGTTGTGCAAGGGAAGAGAAAGGGAGGTTTATGGATCTTTTGTATAAAGACAGTTGTGTACATTTGTAGTTTAAAACAGTAAAATTTGATTAATTAAGGCAAGATTAATCTCTACTAAACTACATTACACCACGTTGAACAAGCCCAACCAACAACCTGAACTACACCGGTTCATTATGTAAAGTTAATTAAGGAGCAGGACTAATCATGGTGAAACTGGTCGATCGCTCATAACTATTCGACTAGTTTTACTTTGGCCAGCGATGTATAGTTGTACTCACAAGACACAATCCCCTGTCATGTCACCATGCTTGGCTTGACACATCACCATGCGAGTGATTGTGACAAGACCCTTCACATAACTTACCTCAAGCCATTTACATCACACTGCAGGTTTCGCCCCTACCCTTGGCGCCACTAAGGGATGGCAGTGCCAGGGGCCACCCCTATCTCTTCGACTCGACGAAGCCTGATGATTGGGAGGCAGGGAGGTGGAATCCCTGGCACCGAACTCACCTCCCATGGCCAACGCATCTGGTGGCAGCACCAACAACCATAAAGAAAACAAGAGGAAAGGCAAGGTTGTAGTTGGTTTCCGATAGAGGTGAAAACAGATCGGATAATATCCGATCCGATCCGCTCTGAATCCGTCCGAAACAAGGATATAGTATGGGCTTTTAGAAATCCAGTGGATATGGATGTGGATGCGGATAGTATGATGCGGATGCGGATATGGTATCTCTAAAATCCGGCAGATGTGGATTATCCGACATTTTGGTCGGATTATCCGATAGGTCGTTTGCCAAATAATCCGAAATTATCAACATATGCAACCACTCTATCTATTGTATATAACATAAGTTGGTACATCCAATGGGCTAATTCATCAATTAACATAGTTTTTTTAGTCTAAGGCTTTTATCGTCTCATATCACACTCGCGTAGCTACTCCCTCCAGGTTGATAATACTTGTCGTTTTGGACAAGGACACGGTCTCCAAAAAGCAACTTTGACAATTATTTTCCATTATAATATGTATGAAAGTGTTAACAAATATATGATTTTATTAAAGTACTTTTTAAGACTAATCTATACAAGTAGTCACCATATTTGAAAGACAAATATTTTGAAAATGATTCATAATCAAAGATTATAAAGTTTGACCTCACCCTTATCTAAAACTACAAGTATTATCAGCCCGGAGGGAGTATATTTTATATTATGGACATCATGTATGTTGTTTAGCACTTAATCATATAATTATTACGATGGGTCATTTATTGATTATAGTATTATTGTTCCTTGCATTGCTAACTCGATGTTGCATTGATTGCATATACACGTAACATCAGATAAATTTAATCCATTTCCCAAATTGGATCTTGGCCTCAACTGGGGGACCGCACCAAAGATGTCATGTGTGTTGAACACCATGCACCACAAGAAAAATGCTTTGTAGAAACATTTTTCGAGTACTATAGACACACTTTTCAAATTCCTTTACAATACTGTGGAGGCATTTTAAAAGTGCCCAATAAGTGCCTTATGGTGAATTGTCTCTACAAACGAAGATGCATTTTATAAAATGTCTATAACATGGTAGAGGCATTTTCTAGAGACATTAAATTGTATCACAACCATATGAAACCAATGTAAAAATGAGAATAAAATAGTTTCCCTTGTTTTTGCCAATCCTTGAACTCATGACCTGTTAAACAAATCATTCTTATCTTCAAGGCATTAACCAACTCAACCCCATGTCATTCATTGTATGTTTGTGCCTTAACTTACTTATATATTTAGTCATTTAGTATATATTTTTATTCTAAGAAGTATCTCTACATAGTTTAAAGTGTCTCAAGCAAATGTCTTTACATGTTAAGCACATTTTAAAGTGCCGAAAGAATGCGTCTACAAGATAAAATCTAATAAAATGTGCTAAAAATATTTCTAAAGTGTCTCTAGAGTAAAAGTTTTCTAGACAATTTTTAAAGTGTCTCTACACTATAAAACTCCTGATCTTAGAGGCAATATGCAAAACACCTCTACAAAAGTGTCTTTATATAAGGTTTTTTGTTGTAGTGATGGCCACCAGCGCAACCTCTTGGCCCTTGCCACCGCCACTTCCAGATGTCATCATCATCGTACATCATGGCCACCAGCACAGCCTTGACCCTTGTCGTCACCATTGCCACCGAGAAGGAGGAATTGGGAGTGTGTTGAGGTTGCCTGCTTTTCCCCCGTCAGATCTAGATAACAACCTCATCTCCTGCACGCCCATGATGAACTGGGGCTGCCACTCCAAAGAGGGGCTCAGTGACTGGTGCTACCGTCAGGAGAGGAGCTCGCTATCCATGATTGCTGGTGTAGCCATGGCCCTCGCCGCTGTCATCGACAAGGAGGAGAAAGTGAGAGGTCTTCGAGGTTGTTGGCTTTGCCCCCACCAGATTTGGATGTTGAGCTTGCCCACGACGATCTCGGGTCATCGCTCTTGACAAGGGCTCACCGCCTAGGGCTAAGGAGAGGACGACGATCTCATCTAGAAAGGAGAGAGAGGGTGTGGAAGGTGACCTCGACAAGAAAAGAAAGAAAAAGGAAGGGTGTGGATTGTAACATCTTGTTTGTGTTACTAAAAATGTTGTAACACTTTTTGGCATGCTAAACACTGGTTACGTACTACTAGATACTCTTGCAGTAACATGACCTATAAGAATACTTATTGGTTGTGTTACTGGAAACTACAATAACACCTCTTTAGTTATATATATAGTAGCATAAACTACAATAACACTTTTTTAGTTATATGTATAGTAGCACATGCTTAGCCCATCCCCAATCCAGAAACTATCAAGTAGTTTTCATACTTACCATGTTATATAGACACTACATAAAAACTATGTATCTAATGGATGGTGTCTCAAAATTAAATTATCATCCAATCATCTCTCTTTTCTCTCCTTTTATCCATCTATCCCCTTGTTTTCATTCTTGGTTCTTGTGTAGAGATGGTTTCTTCATCTTTTTATCTCTCTTCTCATTAACTCTTTTGCTATATTAGATTTTTGCTTATGTGACAATGTATTTAATACTATGGGCACTATATGACATCGAGGGTTGGGGATGGCCTTATGTTACTACAACCCAGTCCTAGGGTAGAGACCCTTAAGCCTTAAAGCAAGTTTAATAGTATAGCTAACTAAAGCTAACATATATAATGGGTTAACTATAAGGTTCACTCTATTTTTTCCCTCTCCTCTCTCTTTTTTTCACTATGAATTTAATATAAATTTCTTGGAGTAAGTGCATAGCTAATTTCTGCATGAGATTTCAAGTTTAATAGTATAGCCAACTACTAGCTCCAAATCATCTATAGCCAATTTAATAGCCCATTAATACAATAGTTTCCTACAAATATATACTACACCAATAATATATAGTCCTGTCTCATACACACACAACGTTTAGAATCCCTGTTACAGTTGGCTATAAATCTGTTGCCCGCTTTCCTTCCTTCTCTTCTCTTCTCTCCTCTATATGTGCTTACAGCCGACTTGTAGCTTGCTATTGTACTCGCTTTGAGAGCCAACACTATTCACTTTTCTTTATCTTTCCCTTCCACATAAGTTTATACTAGTTGGCTTACGGTAAGTACTATAAAATATCTTTGTCGGAGGCGTAGTTGGATATGGCTAGAAAAGAGAATCGAGGTGGTCCAAAGTGAAAAAAAAAGAGAGAGTAAATTTAACTAGTCCAAAGCGATAATATTGAGAAAGAAGATGAAAGAAGATGAAAGAAAAAGGGGATTGGAGAAACAAATAAAATAAAATCATTTGGATTAGTATACTAGAGATAGTGTAGATGTGGTGTATCGTTTATATCACCTCTTATCTTACATTACATATAGAAAATTAGGGATTTTTTAAGAGTACCTTTGGGTGGATGTTGGCTGTCTATGAGATGAGATCGTACGGAGGAGATCAATTTGTACTACAGATGGTAGCAAGTGTAGTAGGTGTAGTAAAAGGGTAAATGTGGAAAAGGAATTCGTGGGACTGTTTAACTTTGCAGTTAATAGAGGGTGTAATCCGTAATTTAATCACGGGAGCAAGCCTGGCACTTGGCCCAGTTGGTTCAGGGGCGGATGCTAGGCTTCCGTCGAGACGCCGTCGTGATGTGGAGGCCATAGATCGCTCCCGCCGCCGCCGTCCTCTTCATCGAGCAAAGCGTGAGACACAGAAATCACCGTGTCCCATGCCATCACTGGCCGCCCTTGCCTTCCTGCAGTCGCGCTCGCTTGCGTCTCCCCTGTGGGCTGCGACCAGAAAGCTCCTATGACTCTCCTCTCAAATACTAGATATCTTAAAGCTCCTAGCTTTGCCGCAACCAGGGCGATTTGGACTCCGTCAACTAATCGTATCGTGACACGTATCTGCAAACCTAGTTGATCCACGCCATTAATTTTTGCAGAAAAGCCCTTATAATTTTGGTATTTACGATTGAGTCCATCGAATCAGAGCCGTTCGATCTCACCCGTGGACATAATCTGATCGTTCGTCTCCTATCTAGATGGTTCCGTCCTTACCCAGACGTGGAATCCACGATCTCTCGTCTCTCCACGTCGCATCCCAATCCCCATCTCGCTTCTCGCTTCTTTGACCGGCGGCGCCGATGCTCCTCCGCCGCGGCGCCGCCTCCTCCTCCTCTTCCATGGCCTTTCCAGCGCCATCGTTTTACCCGTCCTCCAACAGTGCTTCCCTAAAGTGTACGGTGGTGGCTGCGCTCGATGGAGGGGCTCAACGGCGGTTTCAACATAGCCTTGAGGTCGGGGACCTGGCGGCGGCGTCGGAGCCTCTAGCACAGGGGTTTGGCAGCGGCGGCTGCTGCTGGAGGTCCCAGCGATTTAAGGTCGCTGCGGCTCTCCCAACAGTTTTTTGGAGGTCTTCGACGTGGTGACGACGCATCGAGTTCGACGGGTCACTGTCGCCGCTGGCGGTTAGGTGCGTGATTAGCAGCTCCCTGTGTTTTCCCCTTTCATCAATGGGCTTGTGATTCAAGCGATTACATTGATTTAAATGTGGATTTCGAGTTTCTACTGTCTACTGGGTAGGCCAATGGCATAGAGGAGGATTAGGACGAGAAGAAGCTGTCCTCTCTGTTGCCTCTCCTGTACAGCCCAACATACTACTATCATATTGTCTGTAGGTGAGTTTTTGGAGCAAATAATGAGTTCTCTTTGATTGATTTTTTTGCAAATAGGTGTGTGCCAAACAGGATCGCTTTGCACTGAAAATTTGTTCTATCTCAGAGCAAACATGGTGCCTAATGAAATGATTTATGTATGCTGTCATGCAGCTAGCACATGCAGAAGATAGACTGGCAGGATGAGGTGGTGGTGGTTCTTCCCCAGACCCGTCACTGCTCTGGTTGCATTTATTACCTTTTGGGTTGTTGTCCTATGAATTGAGCCTAATTAGTTGATATTCAACAGCTGGAGGTTATATTTCCTTTTTACATTGCATCTTCTTGGTTGTTCAACAGCAGTGATAGCATTTGTTCCCTTAGTGAAACAGCTATCTTGTTGTAGCAGTGATAGCTTTTGTTCCCTTAGTGAAATAGCTTTTGGCAAATTGTACTATCTTGTTGTATTGGCTAGATGAGTGTCCTAGATGTTTAATATGGCCCGAGGAGTTTGCTAAGATGTGTGACAGAATTCAAAAATATATTTCAATAGAATTTTTGTTGTTACCTCTAAATAAAAGAATAATGTTCTAAATGATAACTATATTATGTTGAATCATCTCTAAAGAGTTCCTTCTGTTTTTGTTCCCACTGGTTCCATTTACATGGTCATGAAGCAGTTTGCTTGCTGGACCTTTTGCGTCGCTTACATGGCTCCTCCCATTATATCTGGCTTTTAGGTAAAGACTATTCATTTCTTTGATTGTTGGATAACTAAGCCAGGGTGATGTGAATTGCTGATTGCTGATTCTACTGTATTTAATACAAATTTTTCCTATCTTTTTAACAGTGCTTCAGAGGGCAATGAATTCTTCTGAAGTTTTCCATTGTTACCTGTTTTCAGTTTCAGTAAAAAACTAAGCTCTTCAATGTAAATGGGACAACAATTTGAATAGTTACTATAAGATCTTTTGGGATCAAAAGATTTACTTGTTGCAGGCTTAACTTTCATTTACATTGCAGAAACTTATCATTGGTAGATAAGGATGTGTTAAAAGGGGCTTGCTTAGTACAACTCAAGGCGAGGCTAATACTATGGTGGGTATGAATTTAAAATTACAATATCTGAGTTCAAATTATTTGGTATAAGATTGTAGTTTAAGATGTTGACTGCTAATAATTTTAAAGTTGTAATTGCATAGCTCACTGGCCAACCACGTGCTATAATGAAATATTTTTTTAAAAAAAAATTGTAAGCAAGTACTATTAAATTGAACTCTATGTTGTTTTGCAAATCATCCTACCATGTAATTTATGATGGTTCTCATGATCACTAGGCCAAGTAGCTCTACAATGATGCACTACAAAGAATCCTTTTACACAAATTATTTGTGGGTTTTCAGCATATGGGTGAACAGACGGCTAGACTTGCCCCATTTTTAGAGTTCAACATTTACTAGCTTTGTAAAATATTAGTGTTGCTTATTAATGAAATTATTATATACCCAAATTAAGAGCAATCATTTCATACTTTTATCCATCGCATGAGCTTCTTGTGCTACTTCCTTGCCAACCTCTGATTCATGTTCTTATGTAGCCATTCAGAACACGATAGCCATGACAGCCAGGCAAAGGCAACGGAAAAAGGTAAGCTGCAGGAATTTCTCTTTTTACCTCACCATTAAACATTTGCCTTTCATTGTTTGTACCTTTTTATGATATGCCATTTGCATGTCTGATGGCCACAGATGGTTCTGAAATTCAATTATATTTTTGTGTAACTTTGCAAACAGATCGCCATATGCCCATATATTGCCATTCTTTGTAAATGACAGGCGTAGACATCAATCACTCAGTCCAGTAATTGCATAATAGTAGTATTTCCTTGTTTTTATCTTATCATGTGAAAAAGTCCCCTATAAAATTTGGCTTTCTCACTATTATTGCTTTGCAGAATTAACATGGCAAGTTTTGTACAGGAACTACATATGCTTGCATTGAAGTTTCTTTGGGGAACCAGGAGATGCTTTAATCTTTATTGATGTATTGTCCTATGGTTTGTTGGATAGTCGATCTACAAAATTAATCCTAGCACTCCCAATTTACCTACAAGAGGTATTCTTGGATGGGTACAACATGTTAGTTTGGTTCGGTTTTGTCAATACAAAATCATGAGGATTTCTAGATGTGTATATTCTGTGATATTATCTATAATTTGATATATATTAAATTTATCTGATTATACATGAGTTTATATATGCGACACCATTACGAACTGCTACTATAGTCTCCCCGTGTTCTCTTCATACACATGAATAACATATATGGTACAATAAAAGAGAATTGTAGTTTTACAGCCTCTGTGCAAGTAGCTTTTTAAGTTTAAATGGTAAATATTTAGTTTTACCTTAAGAGAAGTTTACCAAAAAAAAGTTCTTTCAACTGAGATGCTTATGATGTGTGCTTGATGTCGCCTTAGTCAATCTTGATAGGCCCAAGATCCCCGCTCAATCTTCAAGGAATAGGTTTACTTCATGATAATTCATGTCTCATGTTAATATTGGGAGAGGCAACCCACTATGCTCAGCTCATGGATCTTCAGGAATGGAGCTGCCAGCATCTTATTGACAAACAAATACAAGGTAAATATGCATTGGAGATCCTTTCTGTGATTTGCTCTCTGATGTTCTCCTTAGAGAGAAAGAGAAAAAAAAAAGGTTAATCCTTCCTATTATTTCTTTTTATTCATTAATTATATGTAATTACCATTTTGACCAAAAAAACGAGCACTCCATCTGATCATTTTCTAAACCATACAGGAAAAATACTCCATGCACATCAACGGTTAATGCTTTTCTATGAGCTGGTCTTAATATCTCTAGGCTGCACTGTGTTAGGCTGGAGCACCCCGGTCCAATTCTTTTGCCTACCAAATAAACTTACCAACACCAAGCCAGTTGAGTGCTGCAATGTGCAAATTAAACAATATGGTCTCTGTAGCCTGCTCAGCAGGAAAACCATTTGAAATACCTGTGGAAATATCCCTAAACATGCATTAACCATGATGATCATTTTTTTTTAAATACTGTACGGTAGGTAGATCGATATTTGTCAACGCCTTAGCTATACTAGAATACGAGGGGCATCTAAGAGAAAAATACAAATATTGAAGGCTCTCATGGTAGTTTGGTAGCTAATTAATCACATAGGTGATGTATATTTGTTTCTAGCATTTATATCAGTCCATTGATTCACAGTGGATACTCAGTTATTGCATTTAGATGTCTCTTTTCAGGAACCTTTATATTTAAGTTCCTTTACATGGCTATTTTAAGAGTCCGCTGATTTGATTAGTAGGATAACATAGACTGAAGTGAGGATCTGTTCATTAATTTGAGTTCCTTCTACTGATTTTGTAACATCTCTCTATGTGCTGACTTAAGTCTCCAAACTTTTGAGTTCTACTTAGTAACATCTCTAATATACTGAGTTAATTCTCCAAACTCTTAACTTTAAGAATGATTTTAGCAGATGCTGGGTATTGCATTTGGTGATCTGAATTGCCAAGGGGGATATGTTTCTTGAGTAGAAAGTTCTCATAGTGAAGAGTCAAGTCCCTACTTAAAACTAATGAATCTGAAATGTAGTTGGTTTTTCGTACCATAGTTGATCAATGCAATACTATTGCCTCATCTGACTGAGTTTTTGGCCAATGCTAGAGTTTACAGATACTATTTTAATACTGCAGTCCTCGCAAACAAGATTATGAGAAACTTAACCATGTACTATTTTCAGTTAGTTTTACATAACAAACTGCATCTTGTGCCCATAGATGTTGGATGAATCATACTATGCTTGCCATCCCTACTATGCGTCGTGAAATTGTTGTATAAATTATCATCTATCCGGAACTGCTTCTGGGGACTTTGGTTATAAAAAGAACTATTTAGGTTAAATATTGTTCTTATCACGCTGTAGGTACATGAGGAATTGAGTATTGTTGTTATGTAATCTTCTTGGACAAACATTTTTCTGTGAGTTATAGCCTTACATGCTACAATACCGCGCAGCATAGCGCGCGAACTCATTCTAGTTAAAAAAAAAAGCTCCTATGACTCTACACCACCAGACGCCATATATACCAGAAACAATTCATTCTCGCCGTATTGAGTTGGTGGCAGAAAACTCACCATATGGTCGACTATTGATGACTAATTAGTTGAAAAATATGATCTATACACAAAGAGGCATATATATCAAAGAAAGGCTATATATATACGCAGAAGAAGCTATAGCAACGCATGTCAGTCTAGTATATACGCATGCAGAAGAACCTCTGGGTGTGTTTAGTTCACACAAAATTGGAAGTTTGGTTGAAATTGGAACGATGTGATGGAAAAGTTAGAAGTTTGTGTGTATAGAAAAGTTTTGATGTAATGGAAAAGTTAGAAGTTCGAAGAAAAATTTTGCAACTAAACACGGCCTCTACAAGGGCCATGTTTAGTTACTTGTCAAAAAAAATTTTGACGTGTACGGACATACATTTGAAGTATTAAACGTAGACTAATAACAAAATAAATTATAGATTCCGCCTGTAAAATGCGAGACGAGTCTATTGAACCTAATTAATCCGTTATTAGCAAATGTTTACTATAGCACCACATTGTCAAATTATGGCGCAATTAGGCTCAAAAGATTCGTCTCGTAATTTACATACAAACTGTACAATTGATTTTTTTTCGTCCATAATTAATGCTCTATGCATATTTCAAACATTTGATGTGACGAAAAAGTTGGACAAATGCAGGCCTGTCTAGTAGATAGCCTCAAGTACAACTTAACCAATAAGAGCATGTGGGAAAGCACAATCCATATATATATATATATATATATATATATATGGGGCACCATGGTATCTAATGCACAAAATCACTCAAATTTTTCAAAATTTTCAAATTGTAAGTATATACCTAGTTATAATAATTTGATTCATACCTATACTTATCAACAAAACAACTCAAATTTAACTTTATTTCACAATCCATGATTACATACCTAACTAATTATATGTATGGATGCTATATACCTAGAATCAAAATCTAACAAAAACAAGTTCAAATTCAGTTCAAACTTGCTTTAAACTAGTTAGTAAAGTAGTTAATGTTAATACCTAAGTAATTGAAAAAGTTTCATACTCATTTGAATTGGGTATATACTCAATTTCAACAATGGTGCCCGGGCACCATGGAGCACCATGTATGTATGTATGTATGTATGCCATCCAGTGTTGTTAATGTATATGGAGCAAGAGAAACTGATTTCATATACAAATGTATATGCAGTAAAACTAAGTCTGATTATAAGTTGCATGCAAATTATGCAGCGGCAACTGCCACGCCATCGGTAGCAACAACGATGCACGCACAACAGCACAATTCTGCACAATTCCTGATTATATATGAAATACATCAGGAAGCACTCCTAGCTCGAATACTTGAAAGAACAAGGTAAACAAAATCATTTCTTTAGAATACATTCAAGAATATATATGATTCTCAGCATCATATTGCACATACAAGTGAAACCAAAAACTCAAAACTAGAGCCTAAACTAACGCTGCTAAATACAACCACATAGGAGTCAGATCACCTGCAGGCATCCCCTCCACGAAATATCCTGTCTTTCTCTAATTAATAGCAATTAGGAAATCCTTAAACTAGTTAAGTAACTAAACGAGAAGAGAAATAGAAAATCTAGCTCTAGAAGATCCTAACGGGTGCTCGTGCTGGAAGGTAGCAGCGGCGACGACGACGGGGCGTTCCTCCGGATCAAATGCAGAGGCGGCCGCGTTTCTGAATCAAAAGCAAGAGGGGCGGCGACTTCACACACAAGGGTTCGTGTAAGACGGCCAGTGGCCGGTGGGAGCGCAGCGGGGTCGCCAGACTGAGGCGCCGCTGCACAGGACGTCGATTCGCCGCTGCATGTGGAATCGCCGATTAGAGCGAGGGGACGACGGCAGAAAGCGCGGCCCGGCGGCGGCAGTCTTGCATCCCTTGTTTTTTCAGAGGACGCTTGGGCCAATCGAACGAGTCAACATGCAAGGCTGTCTTGCCTCTCGGGATCATCGGAATAGACTAAACTGCCCCTCCACGTCAATCAATTAAAAGTCTAAAATACCCATAGCAATGGGTGGTTAGAGTTGATTCCTAGTACTACACTACTAGGGGTAAAACGGTTACGGAAATTTCCGATCGACTGGGCGCCATTTCTGTTTAAGGGGTACCATTTCCGACCGTAACGTTTTTGGCTATTTTTAAATTTTTGCTTTTTCTAATTTCTTTATACATCATATTAATGTCGATATTGAGTTGTTTAAATAATAAATATGGTCAATCACCGGCCGATCGAGCATCGCTTCCGAAGAGATGCTACCGATTCCGACCGTTTCCGATCGTTTTCACCCCTATACACTACTACCAAACCCAGTGGGGGTATGGTAAATGGCCCAAAATTAGATGTGGTAACTACCCCTACTATAAAACTTGAGGTGCCTACAAATCAGGCGTCCGATTTTTGTTTGAAAAAAATGAGCGCTGTTACAGCAAGTAGATCAGAATTGTTTCACTAAGTAGATCGAAAATGTTTCAATCGTTTGAAAAGTTGAAACACAACCAAATCACCTCATGGAATATTTTGCTACAACGTATAAAACAAACGGTTTCCAAAAAAACGGGTGTTGTTTCACCATATATAAAAACAATGTTTCAGCAAATAGCGAAATGATGTTTCAATTTCACTGCAACATTTGATATATACTTAGTGAAACGTCATGAGTACACTTGCTGACATTGTTGCTGGAACAAAAATAGAAACGAATTCCCTTAATAGATCATTTCCATAATATGTGGATAATTTGTTGCAACGGTGCATATGGTGGGGCGTGTGGTGGGGACAGCGTGGGAAGCGGCGGGCGCCCGATTTTTTTGGCGCTGATCGGGCGCCTGATCGCTGGTATTTTCCTATCAAACTTGCCCTTATAGCTTAATTATATTATCCTTGCTGTTAAGGAAGTCTTGGATCCCCCTCTTCACGATGCTAAAGTTCACAGCTGATCTATATATACCGTAGTACTAGTATATATTTGAAACAAGAGATATGTTACCCAGCAGACAGGGCAATGAAACGTGTAGGCGATGGAAGGGGAACTGTGGAAGTCCAACAAACACGGGGGCCACATCTTAATGAATTGGAGCAGATGCAGATCGAGATAGTAGAGCCCTAGAGATTAATTTGTGGCAGAGGGGGGGGGGGGGGGAGTTCGATCGTATCCTGGGGAATCAATGATGGCCATCAATACCTACCGTGCCAGGCCCGGCCAGGCCAACACCACACCCCCTGTGGCAGGCGAGACACACGCATGCTTTCCCCCTGCACCCCGGCCGGCCGGAGCTCCGCCGGGCCACCATCCACCACAAAGTACCTAGTTATTGCAACCCCCCACCGACGCCATTATAATGGCCGCAGCTGCAGCAGACCGCGCTACCTTTGGCTTTGCACATATATCACGGTATGATCGTCGATCGATATCTGCGTGCATATGCATATGGATGGAGGAGAGAGATGGACGGACCGGGGCTGGAGTCCCTGGACCCAACCACCGGCCGGCATGGCACCATGCAGGTATGCATGCAGCAATTAAGCCAACCACCTCTCCTTTATCATCTTCATCATGGATGCACGGCCGGCACCCAATTCAATTCGGTCGTAGCTAGCATAGCAGCTCACCCCCTCTCTTGCATTACCATTCTACTCGAATACCCAATAAAGGTGGTGTTTGAATCTTTTAAAGATAAGCATTAAATGTTTCACGCAAAAAAAATTAAATTGAGTTTAAATTTTTCGCACGAAACATGCCATTTAGCAGCTTAAAAAGCGTGTCATTTATTAAGGGTTTCACCCATTGTTCCCAAGATATACTGGGCGCACGGAAAACAGAACGGTCCATTAGCGCATGATTAATTAATTATTTACTAATTTTGTTATAAAAATGGATCATTATGATTTTTTTAAAGCAACTTTCGTATAGAAACTTTTTTAAAAAATACACCGTTTAGCAGTTTGAAAAGCGTACTCGTGAAAAAGCGAGAAGTGGTAGTTGGGAACACAAGGTTTCGAACGCAGCCTCAGATGCATAAATACTATAAATATATCCATCCTCATTTGAAAAAAAGAAGTAGAAAATGAAATATGCTCAAGACTTTTGGATTGAGCGAGTACTAATTTGTCTAGCAACCTCTAGAAATAAACTCTCTAGAGCAGG